CCCCTCCTCCTCCTCCTCATTCTCCTCACCCGCCCGCTGCCGCTTGTGCCCAGGCTCCGCCCAGCAAGACCGCCCCTGCAGGACCTTCCTGCAGCCCGCCTCCCCTCTCCGCGCCTCGGCGCCGCGAGTCCGCGGCCAATGGCTGGCAAGAGGGCGGTGGCCGTGGTCCCGGCTCGCGGCGGCTCCGTCTCCGTCCCCCTAAAGAACATCAAGGAGTTATCGAAGAAAAACGGGCTCCTCCTCCTCCTCCTGTTCCTGCTCCTTTTCCTCCTCCGCCTCCTCCTTTCTTCCTCTCCTCCTCCTCCCCTGCCTCCTCTTCCCCGTCCGCCTCCTTCTCCTCCGCCTCCTCCTGCTCTTCCTCCTCCTCCTCCTCCTCTGCCTCCTTCTCCTCCTCCTCCCTCCTCCTCCTCCTCCTCCTCCACTCCTCGTCCTCCTCGTCGTCGTCCTCCTCCTCCTCTTCCTTCTCCTTCCTTGCGCGCCCCGTTCACCGATCCACCCCTCCTTCTCGTCCTCCTCCTCCTCCTCCTCCTCCGCCCCCGCCTCCTTCCCCCGTCCTCCTCAAGGTCCTCCTTCTCCCCCTCTTCTTCGTCCCCGTCCTTCTCCTCCTCCTCCTCCTCCTCCTCCTCTTCCCCTTCCTCCCCCTCCCTTCCTCGAGCACGACGGATCTCAACCACTTCGAACCGATCGTCGACCACGTCGGACCGATCACATCCAGTTGCGATCGGTCCGAATTGGTTGCGGCGTTTTGGGGGCGCTTCAGGAAGATTTCGACAAAGGAAGAGATCGTAAGAGGGTTTGTGGATGCAGTGAGCTTCATTAAACTTCCCGATGGAAATCTGAAAATGCGGTTGCGATTCATGCGATCGCCGTTCGTTCGCCACCACTCATCATCAGCATCGTCATCATCACCATTCTGTTCATTACCATCATCATCCCCATCACCCTACTCATCACCATCCCCATCATCATAGTCATCTTCACAGTTACCATCAGCATCGTACTCATCAGCATGATCATCGTTCGGCTTCATCAGCGTCATCATCAGCATCGCCATCAGCAGCATCCGCGTCATCGTCACCATTATCGCTTACATCATTATCATCACCACCTTCATCATCCTCACTATCGTGATACTGATAATCATAATAACATCATCGCTTTCATCAACATCACCACCACCATTATCATCATCACCACCAGCATCATCGTACTCACTATCATTATCGTCATTGTCATCAACATCCCCATCCGCATCATCTTCATCATCATCATCATCATCATCATCATCATCATCATCAGTATCGCCATCATCATCATCACCCTCATCATCCCCATCAGCATCTCCGTAATCACCATCAACATCACCATCATCATCACCGCTGTCAACGTCATCATCATCGCCATCATCATCGTTAGCTTTATCCTTGCGCTCTATCCTACCTGTGCTTCTCCTCCCTCTCATTCCTAATGCCCCTCAAGTTCCTCCAACCTCTCATCGTTCCCCTCTTTGATCATCATCCCCCTCCTCCCCCCCTCATGTCCCGCCTCGCCCTCCTTACCCCCATCTTCATCAGCACCGTCATTCGCACCATCATCATCATCATCATCATCATCATCATCATCATCATCATCATCATCATCATCCTCACCATCGTCAGCATCAGCATCAACATCATTATCAACATCATCATCACCATAAACATCAACACCAACATCAGCAACATCATCAACACCAGCATCATCACCAGCATCGACACCATCATCATCATTACCATCATCAATACCATCATCACCAACAACAGCAACGCCATCATCATCAGCATCATCATTATATTCATCATCGCCATCGACATCATCGATCACAATCACTTCAGCATCAGCATGGTCATCATCATCAACAGCACCATCCTCAGATTGCTCTCTTCCCCCCGTCCCCCTCCTCCTCTTCGTGCACTTCCCTGTCCTTCCATTCCCCACAAGCGGGCGGCTGCGCGCGCGAGAGAAAGAGCAAGATGGACCACTGACGACGGACGACTGACGACTAACAGCGCGGCCACGACGGAGAGCGTATGAGAAATTGCGAACGCAAGAGTCCTTCAATAATCTTCAGTAGTCCCTCAGGGATCCTCCCGGAATTCCCAGGAAGCCGCATCTCAGGACTTTTCCATGATCCCTCAGGAAACAACAAGAGTCCCCCCGGACTCCCTCTAGAGTTCCTTAGGAAGCCCTTCAGAGTCCTCCAAAAATCCCTCAGGAATCCGTTGAACAATCCATCAGAGATCCGTCTGGAGTACTTCAGGAATATTCGAGCATCTTTCCAGAATCTCAACTGTCCGCGTGGACGTTCCAGGGATTTCCAACATGGAATCCTCAAGAAGTTTTTTGACATTTCAAGATTCCGTCAGGCATCCTTCAGAATGCTGCAGGAATCTTCAACACATCCTCCAGGATCCTGAGGGATCCGCAAGAGTCCCTCAGGAACCTTGTTTGGACTCCGCAGGAATACGCAAGTCCCTCAGGAATCCCTCCAGAGTCCGTCAGGATTCCCTCCAGAATCCGTCAGGAATCCTGCGGGAATCCGCGAAGAATCCTTCAGGATTCTGATAGGAATCTTTCAGACATCCCCTAGAATCTGTAAACTTATTATATGTATGTATATATGTATGTATATATACATATATGTGTATATAAATGTATATATATATATATATATTATGTTAAGCACCAGCGGCAATTCTTCATGAATCCTCAAGAATCCTTCCAGAATCCTCAGGAATCCTTCAGGATCCCCCACAAGTCCTCCAATAATCCTCAAGAGTGCTTCAGGAAGTTTTGAATTCCAGAAACAATCTTTCAGGTATTTTGGAGAATCTCTCTGGAGTCCCCTGGAATCCTTCAAGAATCCGCAAACAATCTTCAGGAACCTTCAGGAATTCTTCAGAAGTCCTGAAGACCGTGGCAAACATCTTGGCAGGAATCCTTCTTCAGGAATCCTCAAGAATTCGTCAGGAATCTTCAAGAACCGTTGGTATTCTCAAGGCTCCTTGAGGAATCATCAATAATCTTTTTTTCCGGGATCCTCAATAATCCTTTCGGGAACCCCACGGATTTTTTTGGAATCTATGAGGAGTCCTCAAGACTCCTTCAGGTATCCGCAAGAATCGTTTTGGAATCCCCAAGAACCCTTCCAGAATCCCCAAGAACCTTTTATGGATCCTCAGGAATCTGCTAGGAATCGTCGAGATTCCCTGAGGAATCCTCCCGAGTCCCTCAGGAGTTCTCCAAACGTTGGAAGGCAGAAGCAAGCTTCCATCATTTTCATTTGGCGTTCGCATTTCATGATCACAGTAATAATCGGGCACGTTGCCATCAGTCCGCTTCCTGTGTTTGAAGTCGGACTGAAGTGGCTCGTGAACGGTCTGAAGTTGTTGGTATGGGTCTTATTCTCCCTCCCCTCCCTCCCTTCCTCATAGGAGCGCCGTCCATAAAAACAGAAGACAACGTTTTTTTTGTCCCTGGCGATCGCGGGCGTGACCAGGGGAGAGGGGGGGCCAGGATCGTTTAACCGACGCCCATCCCCTCCCCATCTCTACTCAGAGTCCCACCACCTCAGCACCCCAGTTGGGGAGATACCCCTCGAAACCCGAAGGAAACAGCCCGTATCCCTAATTAGAGGGGGAGGTAAAGCAGCCCGTGGGGCGCAGGCCACGCCCATGGGAATGGGGGTCGGTTAGACGAGGCTCTGGGGAGGGGGCCGGTTACGTCGCGATTCTCGGCGCCGTCCGGGAACGCTCAGGACTGTCTAGTTCCCAGACGGTGCTGTCGCGAATAGCGACGTGACCGGGGGGACGGGTGGTCTGGCCCTCTGGCGTTATCGCGAATGGGCGGCTTCATAAACAAAAGCTTTCGGTTCTCCGCGCGGATTTCTTGGATCGGCGCTGGGCCCCCTCTCCCAGGCGCGCGGGGCGCCCCAGGGGCGGCGCCAGAGGCGCCGCTGAGGGGGGCCCAGCGCCGATCCAAGACATCCGCGCGGAGCTACGAAAGCTTCTGTCCGCGGACGACCAGCGTTGGCGCCTCCCGACGCGTCGCCGATCGTCGACCCAGGAATGGGACGGAACACAGCTTTCCGGCCCTGGGGAGCCGAAAAGCTGTGCACCCTACCGCGTTGGAGCAAGGCCTGAAGGGAGTCCAAACATGTGCAGTGCACGAGCGCCGTTCTCGTACAGTCAGGTCGAGGTATAAGATCGAGGTCGGCTCGGGGAGGGCACCCTCGTGTTCTTCGTGCTTCTTGGATGTTCTTGTGGATCCTGGGGAGAGGGTGCCCTTGGATGTCCTGCTTGCTTGTGGCCGACGGAGGGCCTCATGTTCTTGTGGGATGCTCTTCTGGCCCAGGTTCGATTGTATTGTTTCGGCAGCAAGGCATGGGGGAGCCAGGGCTCGTTTCGATTCCCCCGATTCGATTCGATTCGATTTCGATGGTTTTCGATTCCGATTCGATTCGATCTGGGGCTCCGATTTGAGTTCCGATTCCTTATTGGAGGCATACTAGCCTGCCGATTTCTGCCGATCCGACTTTTTCCCGACTCAGCTGCCGATTTCCGACGATCCGATTCACGTCGATCGCCGATCCGACTTGTCGCTCCGATCCTGGGCTCTCCTGGGGAGCCTGGTATACCCTCTAAAATTCCGTCTTTAGCGTCGACTAGCGTCGATAGTCGTCTGGAGTCGACGAGACAGCGCCGATGTATAGCGTCGGTTGGCGTCGATCGGCGTCGATCTGGCGTCGATGAGCGTCGATTTGGCGTCGATGAGCGTCGACTCGCAGGAACCGACAAGATGGTACAGGAGACTCCCATGAGTCGCCACCGAATATTCAGCTCGCGACCGTTTCTTGCCCCTCCTCGGGGAGGAGCTGGGCGGCAGGCCTCTGCTGGACTGGTGCGTGCGCTCGGCCCTCGACAGCGGCGTCTTCGCCGAGGTGCCCTGCCAGCCTGAAGCAGATCCCTGTCCCTACGAGTGGCATCACCTCTCGGCGGCGAGCGAGGGGGGGAAGTGAGAGGGAGAAGGCCTTCTCCGAAGGCTCGGAAGGCCCCCCGGCTTTCTGAGAAGTGTTCGAAGCTTTCCCCGAAGACGCAGGGCATTCCTCGGAAGGCTCGAGGGCATCTGAGAAGCCCCGCCGCCTTCTAAAAAGGCCTTCATCGCTCTCCGCCGAACCTTGTTTCGGTGCCGACCTAAAGGATCCCCTCGGCTTCTGAGGGCGCAGATCCCCGAGATACAGTTGGACCGAGGTTTGCAACATCGAGGGCGGCTCGGGGAGGGTGCCCTAATATGTTCTGCGCGCTTGTTGGATGCTCTTGCGCATCCTGTGGGAGGGTATCCTCGCATGTCCTCCAGCTTGGCTGGCGGAGGGTCTTCTGTTCTTGAAGGATGTTCTTCTGTCCTAGGTCCGACTGTAGTCCTCCCACTTGGGCGACGCAAAAAACAGGGGCCGTCTCCGCCGTCATTGGCGCGTGAGCTGCACGCGTACGTGCGCGCGTGGGCGCCCTATCTGCCGATGTGGCGCGCCGCGCTGGCGGCCGCGCAAACCGCCGCGTAAGGTCGCTACGCCATCTCGCGTAAGACCCGTAATTTCCCGTCGCTCCTCTTGTGCATCCCGGGGGAGGGTACCCTCGAATGCTCTTCAGTTAGGCTGGCGGAGGGTCTCGTGTTCTTGAAGAGTGTTCTTCTGTCCTGCAAGACTTGTCAACCATGATTTGACGGTTTTTGTTTTCGGTGCTTGCATGGTCGGCGCTACTTCAATGTTGGCATTAGGTTTCCGTCCCAGACACAGGGGTGTCCGAATTCCGGCAGCACCCTCACAGCATTGAAGAACGTGTTTTCTGAGAAGTGCCTGAAGTACCGAGCGCTTTTCTTTGGAGCCGCGCTTCAATTCATTTCTGATGAGGCTTGTAGGTCCGACTGTAGTCCTCCCATTTTCGGGCGAAGAGAACTATGCACATGCACCGCTCCTGGCAAGGCCCATCCTTGATCCAGGATCGGTGCATATGCCTTCCTGGCCAAGGTAGGAGGGCGTATGCACCGATCCTGGGCTCAGGATGGGCCTGGCCAGAATCGGTGCATGTGCATAGTTCTTTTTCCTCTACATTTGGGCTCGTCAATCTCAGGGATAAGGACAAGGCCGAGGCTGGCCAAGGTCTGGGTCAGCACGGACCACGACGGCATCGCCGCGGCCGCCGAGCGGTCTGGTGCCCGGGTCCACCGGCGCGCCCCGGAGACGGCCACGAACACGGCGGGCAGGGGCAAACGCTAGGGACCGGTAGGCTCAGGGCGGCGTCGGGCCTGTCCCTCTACAGGAGGAATATTCAAGAATACTCAAACAATGTTCTTGAGGACGTTTTTTTTTATAAACTTCTTTTTGTTTCATTTTGTTTTGTTGTTGTTGTTGTTTTTTGTTGTTGTTATGTTTTTGAACATGTTATCTCTTTCTTCCAAACTCCGCCTGTAAGAGGACATGCCCGACCTCAGGATAGGCTCAGGGGCGGATGCATCGACCCCCCATCGCTCATTCGTCGCCAGCAGGGGCCGGATGGCCCACCCGGCCCGGGAGCGGGCGGGTTCGCCATGGGCGGCCTGCCGCCGATGGGTCGGCGGCGTAGAGGCGACGACAGTGGGGACCCATGCCACGAAGCACCCTGCTTGCCTGCAGGGTGCACTTCGGAGGAGAAAAAGGTACCCATACCTCTACCCCCTCGCCCGTTTTCCCCTTTTTGAGCCTCCTTGGCGGCCCTCGTCGCCACTGCTCGTTTCGCCTCGAACTCTTGGTCAGAAGTCACCCCGGGGGGTCCGGGGAGTAGCAGTACCGGTACCGTTTGGTCTCCCCAGCACTGTGTTTCTTGGGTTTCGATGGTTTTGCCACGGAAAGCGTGACGTTCCCACACCACGAACCAATGGGCATCCTGGGGTCTGAGGGTTGGGTCTCTTGTGGAAGGTTGCTTGTCCACTGGCCTCCACTGTAGGTTCCAGGGTTGATGCATCGACCCCCCAATCGCCCATGCATCGCCGATAGGGGCCCGATAGCCCAGCCCGCCCAGAAGCGGGCGGATTCGCCATGGGCGGCCTACCGCCGATTGATCGGCGATTTAGAGCCGATGACAGATCGATCCCCCCCCTCCCCCCGAGCTCGCCCCCCCTGACGTTCCCCCTCAGGCGAGCACAGAGTCGGCCCTGGTGGATTTTGCCAACGCCCACCCGGAGTTCGACGTATGTCCAAGAGCAGACAGCGGCAACCAAGCTCAGGGAAGGAAGAGGTACCGATTGCGCTACCATTCCGCTGCAGCCGCGGCCGGACTCGCCTCCAGGTCTTGGTTCGGTGGCCACAGGTGAATCCTGCCCCCGCCCCCCTAGAAATCGTGGGGGGTGGGGGTAGGGTTCACATGTGGCGGTCTATTGGTCAGAGCGCACCCCGGCAGAGGCCCATGGAGCAGCAGTATCGGCAGCTATTCTTTGTCCTCCCGTGAACTTCCGGAGGTGCCTTGTGCATTGCTGGGGTCGGCGCGGCACTTTCCACATCCTCGCCGCCCCGCCGGGCTGGGCCCCTGGCGCCATGGTGTGGGGAGGTTTGGATGCAACTCCTGTGATCAAGGCCTCCTAGATGGGGTCGGAGTAGATGGGGTCGGAGGGTCGCGCCGCATCGCCGATGCATCGCTGATGCGGCTCGATGTGGAGCCCGATTTGCTTCACGTCGTCGCCGATGCATCGCCGACGTCGACGATGCATTGCCCGTACATTACCGATGCATCGCCGATGTATCGGCGATGCGGCGCGATCCGCCGACCCCATCTAATCCGACCGCATCTAGGAGGCCTCTATGGGAGGTCGAATTCGGACCTTGCCCTGGTCCGAAATCCGGCTTAGTCTGGCTTAGTCCCGTTTAATCAGGCTTAATCCTGCCAAATTCGGCTCAATCCCGTTTACTCCGCGGCCTAATTTGGCGTAGCAGTCCCCCAAGAGAGCTTAATTCTCCCCAGCCCCTCCGACGACCTCCCAGTATTTGCCTCCTAAGGGAGGGCAGGAGCATGCTATGCATGGAAGGATTACATCAAATGAAGACGTAATGAATCGATTGGCCGTGGTGCGGCGGCCATGACACCCACCCCGAGGACCGCTATGACGCGGGTCCAGACCCGAGCCGGGCTGAAGAAGACGTTGAGTCCGAAGCCCGATGATTTCGACCGAAAGCCATTGACACAACCTCACGGCCCTCCATGTTGCGCTGCGGCCCATCGGGGGCCGTAGCGTACACCACGCAAAAACCCATCCTAGAATTTCCTGGTATACGCTAAGCCCCGTGGGGCCGTCGGTGGGGTGGAGTACCAGCCAGCACGAGCCCTGATGCTGGTACTTCTTCGCAGCACGAGGCTCTCTTCGCCCTGTGCCGACCCGAGAAGCTAGCGCGGACCTCCGGCAGCTCCTGCGGATGAAGCTTCTCTGCTCTTCGGGTGTTGTGCCTCATCCAGGCGACGTCCCCACTGCTCACCCCAGAGCACTTCAGGGAGGGCTTCCAGATGTTCTAGGGGAGCGGACAATCACATACACGTAAAGACTCGGAGGTCCGCGCGGAGTTCTTGGATCCGCACTGGACCCCCCTCCCTGGGGCGCGGAGCGCGCCAGGGGCGGCGCCGGAGGCGCCGCCAGGGGGCCCCAGCGCCGATCCGAGAAATCCGCGCGGACCTCAGAGTTTTTATGTTTTCGTCATTGTTCGTTCCCCTATGTTCGAGAAAGTCGGCGCCGACTCCCTCGTGACGGCCGTCCGCGCGCACCGCTTCCTGTGGGAGGTCGACGCCGAGACGGGAGAGGCCAGGGCGAAGAACTACGACCCCCAGACGAGGCCGCGGCGGCAGGACTGGGATGGGGAGCTGGTAGAGAACGGGGCCTTCTACCTCACGACCAAGGCTCAGGGTTACGTCGGGCCTGTCCCTCTACAGGAGGAATTTTCGAACATTCAAGACAGTAGTTCGCGCACGTTGTTTCTTTTTCTTTTCCTTGTTTTGCGATTTTTTTTGGGGGGGGGGTGGCTATTTCTGAGTACTGCTTAATATGGTTTCCGCCCAGAATCCGCCTGTGGGAGGACATGCCCGACTTAGGCTCAGGGGCAGCGTCGGGCAAGGGGGGGGCACTGGCCGCGGCCCGCAGCCGCCCGTCCCTCGCCGATCGGGGGCCGGTGGCCCACCCCGCCCAGGAAGGCGTGAGGATTCGCTGCGAGGGGCGTTTCGCGGATCCGTCGGCAGTGTAGCGTCGATCCCAGGTCGACGTCGCCCCCCTGCCTCCCGAGCTGGTCCCCCTCCGCACTAACTCGTAGTGGCCCTTCCTTTGGACACGAAGGGGACGCGCGCCGAAGTCTACTCCAAACAGAATTCTGTTTTTTTGTTGATGGTTCCAGTGTGCAGGCGCGCCCTGCCGCGCGGTGGTTGTCTGGCACATCTTAGAACGTGCTTAACTTCGCAGCAAACGTCCCCCCGCAAAGGCACAGTTCGACGCAACTCAGTGCCGGCTGGGCGGGAAGATGGCGCTGTACGAGATGCCCGAGCACACCTTCGTGGAGATCGACTCCCCGACGGATTTCGAAGAGGAATTTAACTTCTTGGAGGAGGAGGAGGAGGAGGAGGAGGAGGAAGAGGAAGAGTAGGAGGAGCAGCGGAGGAGGAGAGAGAGAGCTCAGCGCGGATATTTCTCGGATCGGCGCTGGGCCTCCTCTCCCTGGCGCGCGCAGCGCGCCAAACAAAGGGGCGCCGGAGGCGCCGGAGGCGCCGACAATGGGGGCCCAGCGCCGACCCAAGACAGCCGCGCGGAGCTCTGGAAGTTTCTGTCCGCAGACGACCAGTGTGCACCAGTTGGGGATCTACCCGTCGGAACCCGAAGGAAACAGCTGATATCCTTATACATAGGAGGGGGGTCGGAGGTGGATAGACCTCCTACCCTGACACGTCGATTGAGGAATTGGCGGTTTTCGGTTCGCGAGAGGGCGTCGCGGCCATCATTTTTGCGGGTCCAGGTCCGCCGGTTTCGGTCCCAGGCCGTTTTCATTAAGGGGAGGTTTGCTAAAGGGAGGTTTGTCCACCGCCGAGGGGTGTGTGAATCGGCCAGTGGGGCCCTGGCCACGCCCATGGGGACATGGGGTCGGCTTAAACGATCAGGGGCAGGGGCTCGTCACGTCGCGATTCGCGCCCGCGCCGTCCGGGAATGTTCAGGACTGGCCAATGCCCAGACGGAGCTGGCGCGCGAATCGTGACGCGACCCGGGGGGGTGGGCGGGGGGGCTGGTCGGGCGTTGCGTAATGGAGGGGTCATACATGGGGGGGTGTCGCGGGTGGTCCGAAAAGGTACCCAAACGGTACCTAAACGAGCCCCCTGGGGCTCCAGAGGGGCCCGAAAGGGGCACGAAAGGGGACCGTTTCTGACCCCCCCATTTATGACCCCCCCACTAAGCCACGCCCAAGGCTGGTCACGGGCGTTGTCGCGCATGGGTTCCATGAGCATAAGCTGTCGGATCTCCACGCGGATCTATTTGGATCGGCGCTGGGCCTCCTCTCCACGGAGCGCCCCAGGGGCGGCGCCAGAGGCGCCGCTGAGGGGGCCGCCCGGCGCCGATCCAAGACATCCGCGCGGAGCTACGAAGGCTGATGTCCGCGGGCGACCCGTATGCACCGTACCGCGTTGGCGTCTCCCGACGCGTCGCCGATCTTCGACCCAGGAGTGGCACAGAACATCAGAGCCCCGAATCATCAGGGGTAACTCGGGTCAGGGATAACTCGGGTTCGTTTTTCGGGAATCCAAACCCGAGTTACCCCGGACCCGAGTTACCCCGGATAACTCGGGCGTCCAGAGCCCCGAATCATCAGGGGTAAATCGGGTCAGGGCTAACTCGGGTTCCTTTTTCGGGAATCCAAACCCGACTTACCCCGGACCCGAGTTACCCCGGATAACTCGGGCGCCCAAGAACACAGCTTTCTGGCCCTCTGGAGCTGAAAAGTTGTGCACCTTACCGCGTTGGAGCGAGGCCTGAAGGGAATCCAAACATGTACGGTGCACGAGCGCCGGCCTCGTACAGTCAGGCCGAGGTGTAAGATCGAGGTCGGCTCGGGGAGGGCACCCTCGTGTTCTTCGTGTTTCTTGGATGCTCTGGTGCGTCCTGGGGAGGGTACCCTTGGATGTCCTGTTTGTTTTGGCCGACGGAGGGTCTCCTGCTCTTGCGGGATGTTCTTCTGGCCTAGGTCCGACTGTATTGCGAAGGCCTTACGGCGGGTGCCGCCGACTCAGAAGGACGACGACGACGATGACGACCACGACGACGACCACGACGACAACGAGGAAGGAAACAGCCTGTATTCCTATCTCGGGGGGTGGGGTGAAGCGGCCCGTGGGGCTCTGGCCACGCCCATGGGAATAGTGGTCGGTTAAACGATGCTCTGGGGAGGGGGCCGGTCTCGTCGCGATTCTCGCTGGCGCCTTCTGGGAATGTTCAGGATTGGCTAATTCCCAGACGGCGCTTGCGCGAATCGTGACGTGAACAGGGGGGGATGGCTGGGGGGCTGGTCACGGGCTGGGCAGCTCCATAAACAGAAGTTCTCGGTTCTCCACTTGTATTTTTTGGATCGGCGCTGGGCCCCCTCTCCCTGGCGCGCGGAGCGCCCCAGGGGCGGCGCCAGAGGCGCCGCTAGGGGGTCGGGCCGAACGAAAGGGGGGGATAGGGAAAGGGGGGAGGTACGAAATCTGCTGCATGCAGCCGGTTTCGGCCCCGCCGCCGAGCACATTCCTCGATACGCTGGCGCCTCCCGGCGCTGGGACGTGAACTGATTCTCTACCCTACCCTTTGCTATCCCCCCCTTTCGTTCCCCCGAGGCCCAGCGCCGACCCGAGACATCCGCGCGGAGCTGCGATAGCCAATGTCCGCATACGACCCGCATGCACCGTACCGCGTTGGCGTCTGCCGAGGCGTCGCCGACCGTCGATCATTGTCATACTCGCCCCAAGTGTGCAGACCATCCACTGACGGGGGCTTTTCTCGGGCGACGAAATCTATACATATCCACTGCTCCCTGACCATGCCCATCTTGAACCCAGGAGCTGTGTGTGTATGCGCCCTCCTGGCCAAGCCAGGAGGGCGTGGCGTATACACCGCTGCGGGGTTGAGGATGGGCCTGGCCAGGGAGCAGTGGATATGTATAGATTTCGTCGCCCTATTTTCTCTGGTCCCTCCAGGACTGGCAGATCTTGGAGGGCCTAGCCCGGGAGCACGGCTACAGCCCCGGCGCCAGGTGAGCGGCGCGGGCGCGGCCCGGCGAAGGCCTGGTCGGCGGCCTGCGGCCTCGCACCCCCTGCTGCACTCCTCCTCCTCCTGCTCCTCCTCCTGCTCCTCGTCCTCCTCCTCCTCCTCCTCCTCCTCCTCCTCCTCCCTACTCCTCCTACTCTTTGTCCTCGCTTGGCATTTACTGCTCGGATGCGGTACTGGTCCCCAGCCGGCGAACGCTGTTTTCCACCACCATGTGATTGATGGTGCACCGCAGGATGGCCTCGAAAGTTCCGAACGCTGTCATGGCCTTTGCCCTTCGGACCTCCGTGGACGCCTGGTGCACCTCTGGCCAGTCTCGGGGTCACACGAAGATGGGCCTACAGTCGGACGGAGGTAACTGGTTGATTCGGGGAGGGTGCCCTAATGTTCTTCGTGCTTGTTGGATGTTTTTGTGCATCCTGGGGAGGGTGCATTCGGACGTTTTCTGTGTTTTTTTCCCGCTGGAGGGTCTCGTTCGCTTGAAGGATGCTATTCTGTCCCAGGTCCGACTGTAGTTTGCCACACCGTTTTAGCTGGTGCTACCATCTCGCACATTCTTGAGTGTCCGATCGTTGAGTCCCACTCCTTCCCGCTCCTTCTGCGCCTCCCTCCTGCCTCTTCATTACCTCCTCCGAGGGTCGAGTGCGTGCTACGCTATTCCACTGTTCGTCGCTTCCCACCGACCAGCTGACGTCTGTTGTTTGCTGGTTGGACTTGGTCTTCAGTGTCTACGACTCCTTCAACGTGTCCAGGAATCCCAGAAGGGATCGGTTTCACCTGGCTTTTCGAGGTTGCCTCGTACAGCTTCGGAAGCAGCCTTCCCTGGCGTCGTTGATTCATTAGCCTTTCGCTGTTCACTCCTTATTTTTCCCTCCTCCTTGTGGTGTTCGCTGCGTCTGCTCGTCTTCTCTTTCTGGGTGTGGCTTGTCGCTTGCCCACTGGGATGGCGCCCCCCCTCCCAAGTTTGCAAAAAGGTCTCCTCCGATAGCCGCACCCCGTTTTTTGTCCATCTGACGCGTTTGCTCGCACCAACGGATCAGATTGTGATGCGCTGGTCTCAAGTTTTCGTGGTTGGCTTCCAGGTTGTATGACACTTGATCGCCTCAGCGGATGGAGTTTCACAGCGTTGATATCAACACGCAGTTGTTAAAGTGTAACGTATACTCTGCGTCCTTCATCCTGGAGCAGGATGCAATCTGGACAAGACCTCCTCCTCCTCCTCCTCCTCCTCCTCCTCTTCCTCCTCTTGGGAGACCGCATGCTTCTCGACGGGCCACCCGTGGCCCGCGCTGCGGCCCGAAAGGCGGCGGGAGGGAGGAGGACCCTCACCACAGGGGCCGCCGTTAACAACATCGCCACGCGCACGTGCGAGGGCCCCGGGAATGTTCCTGGGGGATGTTCCTGCTGTTCCTCCAGGAGCAGGAGAGTCCGGGCCTCCCAGTCCCAGATGGGGGTCCGAGTAGATGGGGGCGGGAGTTTGTGCCGAGTCGCCGATGCATCGGCGATGCGGCTCGATGCGGAGCCCGACTTTCTCCACGCCGACGTCGCCGATGCGTCGCCGATGTGTCGCCGATGCGTCGCCGATGCGTCGTCGATGCGTCGCCGACGTCGCCGATGAGTCGCCGACGCCGCCGATGCATCGACGATGCATCGGGGATGCGGCGCGATATTCCGACCCCATCTACTCGGACTCCATTTGGGCAGCCTTTCGAGAAAGAGGGAGGAGGAGGAGGAGGAGGAGGAGGAGGAGGAGGAAGAGGAGGAGGAGGTCCGTAGCCATTTTGGCTCAAGGCTAAACGTTGTGAAGGGTCGAGGACCCGAGAATCAGCGATTAGCTTTGGACCCTTCCGTAGCCTGTCTGGCACAGACAGCTTGGGGCGAAGGGCCCACGGCGCCATTCATTCTCACCACCAGTTCCACTCCTCCCCAGAGTCTGCGCCAAACATGCCTGCAGTCGAGCAGGCACGTGGAAGCCATGCACACAGCCGCAGTCGGAGTGCGGACGCCCGACGGGGAGCAGCTGCGGCGGCGACTCTGGCGACCCTCGACGAAAAAGATAAGAGACGGTTGGCTGACCAGTTCGAGCTCATGCCCACGTTCCCAGCGTCGCCACAACCGAGGGCAGGGACTGGTGATCTGGGCTCTATTTGTCCTAATACGCCTATTACTGTGTCTGGGTCTCCAAGTGGAGGCGGCGCTGGTGAGTTCCAAGACGCTCATGCAGACTCTTTTGGTGCAGTCCGCGAGTACATCGACCTCACGAAAAAGGAGCTCTTATTGGCGGTCGGAGGGCTTCAGGCTGGCATCGCGGCGCTGGCCATCTCAGTCTCCAAGAGCTGCGACAACTTGGGCAGACAGGTCGAGAAACGTATCTCTGGTCTTGAATGTCGGCAGGGCCGCGCAGAGGCCCGCATCACTCAGCTCGAGTCTGCGATTGCAGAGTTGCGGCATTACTTGGGCATTCTCCAGAGCGAAAAGCCAGCGACAGTCCCTGTGGATGATACTTCCTTCCGCCGCACTCCAGACACCTCTCTCATCATCGTGCGGGCTAAAGTTCCTGTTGCGAAGCAGGCAGTGCTCGCAGCTATCCAACCATGGCTCGATCGAGTGCAATTGGACCAGACTCTCTTCAAGGTCGAGTGCGAACCTGTGGACAAACGATTCGCTATTCAAGTTCAGGGAAACGGCGCCCTGACAGCACGCCGCGTTGGACAAGCCATGGGAGCGCTTCGTCTGCGTGACGGAGGCTGGCAGAGATTCACATGTCAGAATATTCAAGGCTCGGAGACCGAGCTGCACGTGTCCACGGACAAGAGCCCCGCCATGGTCCGCCAGGGGATTACCCTCAAGCAGATCAGAGTCCGCTTGGCTGGCCTCTACCCGCAGACCCGATTCTTCACGGACAAAGCTCTCGGCTCGATCTCGTCACAGTGGAAGCAACTCATCCGTGTCAAAAATCCAGAGTCCGTCGGCGTCGGCCAACATCGAGTTCTGCTCGGCCAACCTGGCGCACCTCAACCTCAACGAACAAGCTATTCGTGACGCTCTGGTCGGAGTCGGCGCCAGATAGGACGAGAACATACAGTGGTGTTCCTAGCAAGTTCTACGCCTCGTGGCAAGGAAGTGCATCTTCAGCAGCTCCGCTGACGCTCGCCACTTGGAATGCCAGAGCTCTTTTCTTCCACTCCCCTGCGATCCGATCCAATAAGTTGTCTTATTTAATGTCTCTGCTATCGCGTGGGGCGCTGGTGGCAGTGCAGGAGACTCATGGATCCGAGGTTGCAGTGCAAGATTTTCTCCATCATCTCCACCGTCCTTTCCTGGCGTCCTCCTCGTTCTTCGTCGGCGACGGCAATGTTCGTACAGGGGGCGTGACAACCTTTGTCCCCGACTTCTCCCTGACCCATCCGAGGGGCCCTCCTGTCATCGAACCGCTTCAGATCGTTCCTGGCAGAATCCTCAGGGTGACTATCGAGTTCTCGTCTGGGGTTTGGATATCTCACTACAATATCCATAATCACGATATATCGCAGATATACCGACAACAGCTAGAATATCAGATTCTACTTGACCTCCAGAGGGCCCAGCAAAACCCGCTCTGATGCATGGTAGTGCTCGCAGGTGATTTCAACGTCGCGGAGCGGCCGCCTCGGCCCTTAGGAACCGCGCCTGATTTGCGCGGGCAGCCTCTCGCCGAACGGCAGCATCGGCGAGATCAGTTCTGGTGTCGTCTCTTCTCTTGGTTCACGGAGGTGGAGGTGGAGGGGGAAACGCATTTCAATAAGCAGATGAACTCGCTGAGCGCCATCGATAGAGTGTTCGTGTCATCGCCAGGCTGGTCGCTGACGCAACTGAACGCCTCTGCTGAACTTCGCGGTATGCCTGAAAATTTGAGTGCAAAGCGGGTTTCAGATCACGTGGGGGTATCTGTTACGATTTCTCCGAGGCAGAAGACGGACCCAGACGCCAGACCGATTCCCAGGGACCTCTTCAGGATGCCTGAGTTCCAGGAGTATTTGAAGAAAGCGATGGAGGTTGCAGATGTGTCAGAGCTGTCGCCACCTCTGCTGATCGAGTTTCACAAGAAGCTTACGCGGTCTGCTGCGCAACATTCTCGGGATAGCCTTATCGCTAACCACCCTCACTCTCCTTTTGCGGGGCTTATCATCCTCAAAACGATATCTCGGGCTCTTTGGCATCAAGATGTCCACCTTGCTAACAGACTTCGAAGAACTCACTGGATGGGGCGCGCGTACTTGAAAGTGGATGTGCAACAGACCTCTGTCTCTTTACTGTCGCCGCGTGAGTTTTTTCGAGGCCGCGAATGCTGCGCCGCAGGCAGCTGCTGATCGAGCCGCGGCTGAGGTACGCAAATGCATGCAGCCAGATACTCCAGACAAAGTTCTTGCCAAACATCGCCGTCGTCTTCGGGGTATCGCTCGCCGCGCTAAACTCTGGAGTCTGTTCGACCGCAAGCTCACCATCCAGGGGGTAAAGGTTAGCGGTTCCAGGATCGCGGACCCCGAGGGAAAACTTCTCGCTCTGGGGCAAGGCTGGGGACAGGCATTCGCTTCGAAACAGATCGACACCGAGGCTGCTGGCATCTATCTCGACCGCGTTGCACCGCAGGCTGCTCTGCGTGACTTACGGCCGCCTTCGAAGGCTACGTTCGATCGGATCCTTCGGCGCGCCAAGACGAGCGAGCCCGGGCCCGACGGCGTCCCGTACCTCGCTTGGGCCATGCACCCTTGTGGCAGCGAGCTTCTCACCCAGGCAACGTGGTGGTGTCTCGAGGGCAACGCGATGCTCTATTCCTTCAACAAAGTTCGTGGGGTATTTCTTCCGAAAGGCTCTGAGGAAGGCGACGACGTTGCCATCGACCGATCGGTTTCCCAGACGAGACCACTGGGCTTGAAATACTGTGACTGCAAGCTGATGACAGCAGCCTGCGCGTGGGAGCTATCTAGAGCGCTGCCGAGCTTCATCGACC